GGGATCCCGGCACAGGGACACTGCCCCGGGAAAACGTGTCCGGGGCGCGGCCGCCCGAGGGCTGGTCACCACGTACACAGGGCTTGGCCACCGTGCACCCGGGACTCGGCCACCAGTCATCCAGGGCTCGGCCACACTGCATCCAGGGCTAGGTGACTGCACACCCAGGGTTTGGCCACCAGCCATCCAGAGCTTGGCCACTGTGCACCCAGGGCTCGGCCACTATGCATGCAGGGCTAGACCACTGCACATCCAGAGTTTGGCCACCACACACACAGGGCTTGGTCACCATGCATCCAGCGTTTGGCCGCTGCACACCCAGGGTTTGGCCACCCTGCACACAGGGCTACTGCCACGGCTGGGACACAGTGAGGACAGCACCCAGAGGCAACAGTCCAGGTGCAATGTGAGATTTTTATCTGTTGGCTGAAGGTAACTAACTGGCCTTGAGAAGTCAATGTAGTAAGCTACAATTCTTCCTTAAAAAAAGCAGTCTTGCAAGCATCTTCTATTCTGCAGTGTAGCTATTCCCAACAGGGAATGCCACGGAAGGACACAGACTGGTTGAACTGAAGCACCACAAGAAGACTGTGGCACCAAGGCAGGGCTGTACCTACCCAGTGTCCTGCACCTGCGAGAACACAAGTGCTCACACCTCCCTCCACCTCTTCACCAGCCAAATCAATGGAGCTGTCAGAGCTCATTTCACCATGCAAATTAACTGTCCCTTCACTGGAAACACAAGCAGAGAAGCTTCATGGCAGCAAGACTACAGCAAAAGTAAGGCCCTTTCAGGCACTATACACTGAATTTCCAATTGTTTTTTAAAATCAAGCTGACATTAACCTCTCCACTGCTATCAGTTTCTAAAACCTGGATCCTGTTTGGCTGATGAATGCTAACAGTGCAACTAACTGCAGTAAGACAACCTTCCTCCTTTACTTTCCTCCCCAAATCCTAAACCTAACTAGAATCATGAAACAACCTCTGTACTTAAATTTCCACATGTAACCAAAGTATGCAAATCTTCTGTCTCCACATTTTAGAGGCATGCTAATACACTTCAACCAGTTGTTCTTAGAAATAAGCACAATGCCATCAAATGAACTTCATTTTCATCACATCTGAGGAAAATTCTGTTGCATAATTACACACTTGTGCCTGTAGAAAAAAAAACCACAAACCCATCAGACTTTTCATTTATGTGGAAAAATACAATTTATTTAAATAACCTCTGATCTGGGTCTTCTTGTACAAAAATAAATTCTTCAAGAGGGGTATGACGATTTGCTGGCCAACAGCTTTTCTCACATGTGTAAATCAGAACAGTTCCAAATTCCACCGACAGACCTAAACACAAAGCAATAAAGGCACATAATGTAAAGGTATGAAAAGTGACATAATCAGGCACTATTGCTTACCATCACACTTCAACCTCTGCAGAGTATTTCCCATATTCAGTCTCCTATGTACATAGATTTTCTAATTCTAAAGCAAGCGGACTCAGAATTTTCAAAGAGCTTCTTGTCTGCAATATTATCTAAGAATAATTATTTTTCAAGGCCTCCTTTAAGAGGCAATAAAGACAAATTAGTCTCAAAGTCATGCAACTACCTATATTGCAGTTATTAAAGTTCACTAGTAAGCAAATGAAGCTGCAATCACAGAGTCTCCATAAAGCAGAGTTCTCTCTTTTGCTTAGTGAAATCTCCTATGAAACAGTGGATTCTACAAGACATGATCACTGCAGTTAAGCACATCAGTGCATGGTTAGCAAGAAACAATCCAAACTGCAGTTCACTGCACTGTACCAAAAAGGTGACTGTTTCTAGTACTCATTCAACTAAGCCAAAGGTCAACACCTGAATCACTCTGGAGCATGCTGACCAGTGCTGGCATCAGCTGCAACTCAAACACCCTGCTGCTTCCACAGCTGCTGCAGGCTGGAATATCTTGGCTTAGGTTGGCTGGAGGACATGTTATGAATAAAGGCTGGCCACCCCAGGAGTATCTGAGAGAAGAAAGGAAGGAGAAAAAAGTTATTTTTTAATACCTAAATTTGATAGGAAAACTCAGATGTTTGCAACAGTATTCAGGACTCACTGAAACCTCTAAACCTGCTTGAAGTTAAACATTGCTGTGAGTCAGAATCATTGCCTAAGCTTCAAAAGAGTCATTAAACAACAAATAAAAATGGGGAGAGGAAATACTTGGAAGGAAAACATCTGGGAAATCTTAAGGAAAGGGCTGGATTTGAAGGAGACAAATGCTTTGAACTGGCACCTCCAAAATATGCTGTACCTAATTAAGCAAACTACACCCTCCTGAAAAATGGAATCCTAAACAGTGGCAGTAAAAGAGAAGATTCATCAAGTAAAAGATTCAACCTAGAATAGGTCCCAAAATCACTGTAGTTAAGCCTCAGAACTGTTGTTCATTTCTAACAGGAAACCCAAATCAAGGATGTGTTCCTCAGAATGCCAAGCAGGAGATTCTGTGCTTTGCTGAAGCTCCACAGAGATGCAGCAGCCCAGGAGAAAAGGAGTCTAACAACATCCTGACAACACCCAGGAAGGAGCAAAGGAAGGCTACAGAAAGATCATGAGTGATAGTCACAGGGATCACCAGAAGTGATGCTTTGGAAGAATGGAAAATTCAAAGAGCACAAAACTGCCAAGTGACAGATCCACTGAAACAAAACAGTCTGAAAATGCTACTTACACTCTGCATTAGGACACCTCCTGCATAATCTCTGATAGTTAAGGAATGTTTCAAATGTTTGCTATCTGTGTAACCAGTCCCTCAGACTAACTCATCAAAAAGGTACCAGTTAGTAACACACGGTTCTGGAAACTTGATAAACAAATGTCCTGTCAGTACACTGAGGCAGCTTGACCAGACAGGCTGCACAGTGCTCCCTGGAACACCTGGCAGGACCCATGAAAACCTTGCTTATTATCTGGTACTATGAATAGCTCATGATTTAAACTCTTTGTTATATTCACATTCACAATTAACTCCTCTGGGAGAGTAGCTATTCTGAGGTTACACGTGCTTCTGCTCTAGAAAAATCAACAGATTTACAACACCTGAAGACTGCAGCACTCTAAGGGGTAATCTAGTCATACTTTGTATAAAAAAAGCCCAAGTAGGGACTGCAGTCTGACCATGCAGCATGGCAACTGCCCTTGTGGCAAAATTTTTTGATTAAGAAATAAAAACATACATATATTCCCAAGGAAATAGTTTAGTGTGATGTGCTAACAATCCATGTCTATGATCTGCTACAACCAGAGGATCAACACACCTTAGAATCTGCTCATGACACACAGATACTCTTTTCATAAATTTATGGAATGTGTGGTCCCAGCTTTTGACTTCACTCTTCTCATATTTTTCATTATCACCTTCACCTGAAAAACTGTAAGAACAAGAAAAAATTTCCAGTAAGGCATGATATGCATATTTCAAATAACAATGGTTACCATACACTCACATTACATTATACTAAGTACACTGAAAAAAGCTATACATGCTAAGAGACAATTCCTGTTAGAGGGTACAAGTGAACATTTTGCTTCTAGTTCTTTGGCTTCTGATGGCTTACAGTAAACTCAATTAACTCCTAAAAATGCAATTGGAATATAAGAAAAGCTTTAGCTTATAAAGAAAAAAGTGTCCATTGTTACAGTACAAATTCATGCCCTTTGGCATAGGTATTGTTTAAACCACACTGGTTTGGATCCAGAGATTGACCATCCACTGCTCTATCTGCAGCCCAAGAACATTCCAAGTGGTCAGTCACTCAGAAATAGATCTTGAGTAACTCAAACTGTGACAGAAGTTGGTGCATTGCTTTGAGCACAGCACTGCACCTCAATGGATCCTGCAGGAACCAGTTCCAAACAAAATCATTAGTGAGATTCAGACTATCAGTCAGCATGCAAACTATTCCAGACCTGTTCTCACCTTCCTGACATCATCTGTTCCAAATCAACACCCTCTCTCTGCTGGTACTCCTTCAATAGCTTTTCTGCATGACCTGTATCAAGGAAACCAGTGTAGTCTTCCTCATCCACAACATTAATGTAAAAGGGCTGGAACACAGGAGCTGGACTAGCTGCTTCTATTACCATTTCCTCACTGGCTGCAGGATTTGTGTCCAGGGACCCTGAGCCATCCACAGACTCAGATAAGCAAAGCTGCTGGAACTGGGATGTACATTCCACATCTGCTGGTGGAGTGCTGCTCACTGTTTCTTTTAAGCCAAGCAGCTGAAGGGAGACACATGCAGGAGATTCTGCTCCATCACAGACTCCCCAGTCGTCTGCTTCGTCACACCAATCCTTTGCAGCAGAGCTTGATTCTTGCTTCTGAGAACCAAAAAGCACATTGTCAAGGTCAGCCATATTAGTACAATTCCAATAGTTTCGTAACAGATGAGAAGACTAAACCCTTAACCTAATGCTCAGTGTTATTTCACCTATCCTCCTCACAGTGACACTTCCCAACACACCCATGCTTACTTTTCACACCAGCACAGTTATGGCAAAGAACAGCTCACACTGGACAATTGGAACAAGAATTCCTTGGCTTTTTGAATGGCCCCTGCGCATCCTGTTGCCATGCTGTGGCTGCTGGTACAGCCACTGCCAGCTGTCTGGGCACCCTCAGCTGAAACACAGTTACTGCACCACAGGCAAGCTCAAAGGGCAGAATATGGAAGGAAATAATAACATCAACAACACCACCATCATTTATCAGAGTGAAAGCTCATTTACCACAGACCAAACTTCTATACTGCAAACGCACCAGTGAAATGAATGAGTAAACACTCCCTGACTGCCTTCCCTAGTTTGATTGCCATCCTCCTCTTCCAGTCTGCTGAAGTCAACCTGCAGTTTTTCCTTACAAGCAAAAATACAAGTATATAAATAACCAAATCACCTGAATTAAAACCGATGATAAACTTAAAAATAATTTACATTAGAAAATAAAGAAAACAGCTTAAAGATCCACACCTAAACAGCACAGCCTAACCATCTGAAGCTGAAAAATAATGCTTAGTTAGCTCAACTAACTGAAGCATTCAATATCAGTTTCGACCACACAGTTGGACTGTGATTTCCACTTTAAAACCAGCCTAACACAGATCACAAAAAATAAGTTAATTTTCCAGCAAACAATGCAGTGCACTGTCAAAACCACGGTGACTTCTCCACAGGACCACACACGTGACTCGGGGCTGGGGTATCGCACAGCTTCTTCAGAAAGGCTGTGCTCCCCTAAATAAGGATGTAAAAGGCATCAAACTGACTCAGCTCAGCTGAGGTTCCACTTTTAAACCCCTCCACACAGCCGTGCCGCAGCAGGGGCACAGCGGGCAGGGCCGGGGCAGGCAGATCGCTGTACCTGTTCGGCGCTGTCGTCCCGCGTTTCCTTTTCCTGTGCCTGCGAGGCCTGGGAGCGCAGCACCTTCCAGCTCCACGCGCCGGGCAGAGAGAAACAGATCGGTGAGCAGCGAACGTGCCGCGGACCTGGCACTCCGCCAAGCCGCTGAGATTGTATTATTACACAACAAACATAAAAACAGCCATGCTACCACCGCCTGCCGGGGCCCTCACCTGCGGGACGCTCCCCAGCAGCGCTGCGCGGTGCAGGCGAACACGTGCAGGACGCGGTGGCAGGGGCAGAGCTCCAGCGGGCAGT